AATAAAAAAAAAAAAACGTTCAAAGAGAATTTAATAAATGTGTGTTGACAAATAGATAAAACATATAAATAGATTAAATTTGATCTCACTATCTGTTAGCAAAATTTAATTGATTTTTTTTTTAGTTGATGTTTATTATTATTTTACATTTAAAAATTTTTTAAATTATTATAATTATTATAATTATTACTATTTGGTCTTATTGTATATCCCGCAGGTTATCATTTTTGCCTGTAATAATTTTTTTTTTGTAAAATGTCTGCCATAATTAAAACTGTTATTTACTTTTAAAAAATTTTAATTTATTGTTATTCATTTATTAAACGTGATGGATAAAATAAAATAAAAAAATAATTAAATCAAAATTAAAACGTTTGAGTTTACAATAAAAAAAAAATATTTTTTTTTAAATCAATTTTTATTATTTTAACATCAAAATGCTTTTTGGCATTTTTTTTATTTTTATTTTTGCCATATTTGCAATATTTAAAGGTTGTCGTGGTTTTGTTCTTATTTATGAAATAATATATTAATCATGTCAATTTTGATTAGTAAAAACGTTTGGAAAAAAAATTAAATTTTTTTTTTTGTGCTTAAAATGGAACTTGAATATTACATTTCAGGAATTTATAGAAAATTAACAAAGATGAAATTTTGTTGTTCTCCACCATTTATCGTTAAAACTGGTAAATTTAAACTTAGCCGTTCTTTACAATCATTAAATAAAGAAAATTCAGGGACTCAACAACTTGAGGCTCGTGCTTCGTATAAGGTAATATATATATTTTAATATTATTATTTTTTATTTTTTCAAAGCCTTTTTAATTAATTTTTACAAATAATTTACTTATTGTAAATTTTTGCTTACAAGTAATCGTTACAAAAACTGCAATCGTCTATTAGTATGAATTTATAAGTAATTTTTTATAAATTTTTTTCTATAAAATAATTATTCAAAATTTTTTAAAACTGCATCAAGAGCTTTACTTTTTTTTTTTTTTTTTTGTTTACATGTCAGGAAAATTTTTTTTTTTCACACGTAGATTTTCCCCCATAATTTAAAAAAATTTCGGGTTTGTTTTTGTTTTTTTTTTTTTTTTTAAACGATTTTTTTACTTGTTAATTTCATCCACGAATCAATAGTTGAATTTAAATTTTTTTTAGCTTATTCTAAAAAAAAAAAAAAGAAATGCAAAATGGCTGCTTCTCCTTCTTAATATTTTTGATACAATGCAAAAAAAAAATTTTATTTGTTTATCATGTTCCATATTTTTAATAAAGAAAGAACGTAATTTTATTTAGGCTCAGTTGAATAATAATAAAAATCGTTTCCTTATTTTTTTAATGCGTTTTTGTTATGATTCACTTACAAATTTTTTTTTTTTTTTTGATTATGAAATACGTAAGTATTATTTTTAACCATTTATATTTAAACTTTAATAATATCTATCTATTAAATAGTTTAAATAATTTTTTTTTTTTTAATAATTTCATCAAAGTGTGATTATTAATCTTAATCCATAGTATTAGCAATAATCCAAATATCAAATCGATTATCTAATTTTTATTTTTTATTTTATTTTAATTTGAATAATTTATTTTAATAAACTATTTCCTCTCACGTATTATATTTTAAATAGATTTAAAACAAAAAAAAAAAAAACTTTATTTAAGGTGTTTGAGAGATACGACGACAATCAAGAAGAAATGACAAACGTATTCGAATCATCAAATATTTTAAAAATGGAGGAAAAAAAAGATGAAAATCAAAATATTATTTTTCTTAAATGTTGCGCCGTTAAAAAAATGGATGTTGGAAAACCTAAAAGAACACCAGGAAAACCATTGATAAAAAATACGATTAATAAAAAAAAAGAAGGAGTTTCCGGTAATAGCAGCGTAACGAAAAAATTGGAAAAAGCAAGCGACATAAAACTTCCTAAATATGAAAAAGATTTAAAAACTATTGAATTTATTAAAGATTCAATAAGAGGTAATGAATTTTTAAAAGATGGATTATTTGCGAGTCCAAATATTATAAAAGCTGTTGTCGATGCCATGTACATAAAAAGTGTACCTGCAAATGAATATATCATAAGAGAAGGAGAAGTTGGTGAGTCTTTTACAACAGAATTCCTTTTTTTTTTTTTCTAAAAAAAATAATAATAATAATGTTTGTAAATGATTTTTCAGGTTTTCATATGTATGTCGTTGCAAAAGGTTCCATTGATGTATTTAAGGGAGATGTAAAAGTTAATACTTTGGGACCTAAAAAGGTTTTTGGAGAATTAGCTTTGTTATATAATTCAAAAAGAAATGCAACCATTTTGGGTTTGTATTTATTTTTAAATAAATTTGAACGTTTCGAAATTTTTATTTTAATAATTTATTAAAATTTTTAGCAAATACCGATTGTGATTTTTGGGTTTTGGATCGTAAAATTTTTCTTCAAATTATGAAAAAATCTGGAATGCAAATGACGGAAAATAGAGTTAAATTTTTAAGAAGTGTTCCTCTATTAAGTTCTTTAAATACCGAAGTTTTAGTTAAAATGACCGATTTGCTTAAATTGGTAAATTTTTATATTTAAAATTTTATTTTTAAATTGTCATTTTTTGTAAGATTAAATAATAATAATAAAAAAAAAAAAAATGTTTTAGCGCACATACGCTGCCGGAAGTGTTATTTTAAAACAAGGAGACGAAGGAAGTTTATTTTATATAATAACAGGAGGAACTGTATCCGTTACCATTACTCAACCAGGTATAAAAATCAAAGTTTTATAAAAACTAAACAAAAGCTATATGAAAGAAATAAAAAAAAATTTTTTTTCAAACCTTTTTTTAGACGGAACCGTAAAACAAGGTCCGATTTTAAAAACTGGAGATTTTTTCGGTGAAAAAGCTTTATTGAAAGATGAAAAAAGGGCAGCAACCGTCATCGCACAAGAACCAGGAGTCGAATGTCTGACATTGGATAGAATTCATTTTATCGAATATTTGGGAGGACTTCAAGAAGTGAGAGATGCTAATTTCGATAAAAAATTTAGCCTAGAAAAAAATGACGCATCTGGTATTATTATTATTAATAAAATCTTAAAGAAAATCTTTTTTGTTTTGTACTTGAAACATTTAAATTGTCTTACAGAGTTTAGTCATTTATTATTGGATGATTTAGAAATAATTGGTACCATAGGAGTTGGTGCATTTGGTAGGGTGGAATTTGTCAAATGTAAAAATGATAAAAATATAGTTTTTGCATTAAAATGTGTTAAAAAAATTGACGTTGTTGCTTTGGGCCAGGAACAGCACATGCATAACGAAAAAGAAAATATGATGATGTGTAGAAGTCCGTTTATTGTCAGGTATGTTAAAAAAAATTAAAAATGTTACGGAAAACCTATTATTAAAAGGTATTTTTCATTTTGCTTTTTCCAGATTGTACAATACATATAAATCGAGTAAATATGTATATTTTTTAATGGAGTTCTGCCAGGGGGGAGACGTATGGAGTTTATTACAAAAAAAAAAATTTTTTGACGAATCGTTAGCCAGATTTATAACGGGTTGCATGGTTGAAGCTTTTGAATATCTTCATGCCAGGGGAATCGCTTACAGAGATTTGAAACCTGAAAATGTAATTTTCGACGCCAAAGGATATGCTAAATTGGTACCTTAAACTTTTCATTATTATTATTATTTTTTTTTTAATTACACGATTCGTATTGGCGATTATTTCAAATTTTCCATACCATTTTTCAGGCCGATTTTGGATTTTCAAAAAAATTAAAACCAACTGAAAAAACTTGGACTTTTGCGGGTACTCCAGAATACGTAGCTCCAGAAATTATTCTTAATGAAGGACATAATAGAGCGGTAGATTACTGGACGTTAGGAATTTTCATTCATGAACTTCTCGTTGGAAAGTAAGCAGCGTTATTTAATAAACAATCACGTGCCATTTTGTAAATGTTGTTTTTTGATTGATGTTTGATGATTGAAATTTCAGGCCACCATTTAGAGGACACAATCATTCTCAAACGTATACATTAATATTAAAAGGAATCGATAGCGTTTTATTTCCCAGACTGATAAGCAAAACGGCACAAATTTTAATAAAAAAATTATGTAAAAGGGCTCCTGCGGAAAGGTTAGGGTTTCAAAGGGAAGGAGTGACAGACATTAAAAAACACAGGTGTGAAACAGGATTATCAATTTAATATCACCTGGCGTCGAGTTATTTATTTATTTATTTTTTTTATGGTTTTAGGTGGTTTCAAAATTTTAATTGGGAAGCGTTAGAAAAAACATTACTCGTCTCTCCTCACGTACCCAAGTTAAAAGGAACAACAGATCTTTCATATTTTGATAAATATCCTAAAGATAAAGAAATTCCACCTGATGAATTCGGAGACTGGGATTCTGAATTTTAATAAAACAAAAGGTTTTGTGTAACCTTAAAATTAAAGTTAAGAAAATATTTTTTTATATTTTTATAATTTAACGTTATTAAAGAAATCACGAGAATTTACAGTACGGTTATGGTAACCGGAAACGGATGCAATTCAGTTAAATATTTGTTAATTTAGTTGTTAAGATACATTATTATTATTATTAAATATCGATGAACTTAACGAATTGTAATTAAATTTAGAAATTTCATTACATTATTAAATTGTTCTCGTTATTAATAAGTAAATAATAATGTTTAAGTGTAAATAAATATTGTTTTTAGTTATCAATAAATAAATGTTTACATTAAATAAAATGTTTTTGATTTAATTAAATGTGAAAAAAAAAAAAAAAAATAAGGAAAAAAGTTTTTGACGATTATTATAATTAAACATAAATTTGGAAATAATTAAAAAAAAAAAAAAAAAAAATTATAAGAGTTTCGAATAAAGAAAATTTTTGGCACTTAATTAAAAATTTTTTTTTTATTTAAATAGGAGAACGAAAAAATAAAATCAAAAAAACTTTCAATTTGTATTTTTGTTTGTAATACAATGAAATTAATTATTAGAACGTGTTTTACCTATGGCAGTTATTAATTTTCATAAATATTATTTATCATTATTTAATACTGTGATAACAAGGTATTTTTTTTACAACAACATTTGAAAAATAAATAAAATTATTAATTAATGATTTGTGAATGAATTTTTTTTTTTTTTTTTTATTAATTGGAATTAATTTTTTTCAATTTTTTTTTTTTTACATTCTTATTCTTCTTCTTTATACAATTAAATGGATTTGAAAAAAAAAAAAAAAAAAAAAAATATTTTTGAGCAAAATATTTTAAAAAAAAAAAAAAGGTTTTTTTTTTTTTTTATTAAAATTTTTTTAAAATCAAATTTTGTTTTTATTTTTGTACAAAAAAAAAAAACAACAATTTTCTTTTTTTTTTAATTTTTTTCCAAGTTTCCAAGAAACAACATTAAAAAAAAAAAAAAAAAAAAAAAGAAAAAAAAAATTTCCAAAAAGGAAAATTTTAAGTGATTTAAGGTTAGAAAAGGTTTTTTTTTTTTTTTTTTTTTTTTTAAACAAAAAAATTAATGTTGCTTCTTTTATTTATCTTCAGCTGACATTATCATCAAAACATTTAATATAAGCTAAAATTACAAATAGAAAGAAGCAAGCTTTCGCATGTTCAACAGAAAACAAAATAAAAATAAAATAAAAAAAAAAAAAATAAAATTTTTTATTTTAATTTACAATTAAATTTTCTTAAACTAATGACCAAGAGTCACGGCTTTACACAATTAAAAATAACTAATTTATTTATTTACAAAATTTGATATTTAATTCACATTTTGCTCGTTAGCCGGAGGCGATAAAAATTCATTTTCTGCTGCCAGCTTTTTCCTGCAATCGGGACAGTACCAACTCCCCTTGGGGGGCACCATTATCCCGACGCATTCGAAATGAAACCATTCGATAACGCAATCCTCGGCATCGCATGCGATCATTTCGGAAACTTCGTCGTAAGGACACTGGCAAAAGCAATAAAGTTTCTCACCTTTTTGAGCCGCGGGATTTCCATTCACTTGAAATTGTTTTTCCAACCTTTTTATTTGAAAAGGCTCACTTTCTGAGACCTTTTCGACCACCGGAGTTTGTCTATTCGTTTGAGATGTTCTTATTTTAATAGGATTAACTTTTGGCGTGCTCGTCTCACATTTATCGACTCTCCACGTTAAAGAACTTTTCGAATGAGAATTCCACTGAATGGGAGTGCTCTCGTTGGAACCGTCCACGGGTGGCACTACTCCAACGGATAAAGCCGGAGTCGTGACATTATGTTCACCTTTTTCGCGCTTTCTAGAAGTTGGAGTTTGTTCATTTTCATCGTCACTAGAAAAACCGTAAAATTTAAGTGGAACTCTTTTCCGTTTAGGTCTCTTTGAATCGCCTTCACTCGAACTGTGAACCGTGTCTTCGGTTTTCACTCGGCTAGATATTTGATTGGAAAGCGAGTCGTAATTAATATTAACACTTGAGTCTCCTCCTCCGTTCGTTTCAGTTATAAATTGAGGAGTGCGACTTTTGTTTGCCGCTATTGTTCCGACTTTTTTGCGGTTGCCTTTGGCAGCAGTACTCGGTCGAGGTTGAGATCGCTTTTTTTTGAATTTCGCCTTTTTCTTCGAGCCCGCTTGTTTTTCCGTAGTTATCGATGGAGATGATGTAGCGGCATCGGATCCATTTAAATTTGCCAAAAGCTGAGTTCGTTTTTCTGCCAATATTCTGTTTGCTTCTCTTGCCGGATTGTAATCGTAGAAATCCTCATCCGTTTCTGATTCCTCAGTTTCCAAATCGGATTCTTTGATCAAATTTTCAAGAGGAGCATCGTGAACAGAAATATCAACTTCAGCAGGAAGTTCTGGTTCGACTAGAAAAAAAAATAAAATTTTTTTTTTTTGTTAAAATCACTGTAAAACTGGAAAAATATCGATAAATGAACTGTTAAAAAAAACTCTTACCTTCGATAGGTACTTTATTATCTTTTGTGTTCTTTTTTCTTTTTTCACGAGAATCTGAATCTGAATCGTTTGAAGATGTAGAACTGGAAGATCCGCTACTGCAAGAACAATTACTCCCACAACTACAGCTAGAATCACTATCACTAGAAGAATCGCTTGACGATGATTTTGATAAGTCTTCTCGATGTTTGTTTTTTTGTTTTGATTTACTCGAGGTTTTAGATTTTGGAACATTATTGCAATAGTCGTGATCTAATCCTACTTTTTTGCTATTATCAGAAGTTTTATCTGCTTCTGTTTTCGAAGTATTTACATCCTGAGATGCTGTATTGGGAATGATATGGTAGTCGTGGTCGGATAACATGATTTCTTTGATACGACTCAAAGTCATATTTTTAAAAGGCGATGCAGGCCTAAACGTTTTAGGCATATCTTTAGCGACTAAATAATTTTGGAAATTATTCCAAACTCCATCGACAATCTGCGTCGGGCTAGTTTCTTCTTTCTGAATATCCCCGTTCAAAAATCCGTTCGTTGCGGGCAGTTCTTCGGTAGGAGGACTTTCGGGTTTTACAAGTTTTGGTTTTACGTCAACATTTTCCTGATCGGAATCGTCGCTTTCGGATAAATTTACAGGCGGTAAGTCAAAAACATCGTTTAAGACTTTTCTTTTCTTTGGCTTTCTCTCTTTAGCTGGTTTTTTGTCTGTTTCTTCTGAATTATTAACTTCCTGATCAACAATTTTAGCATCTTCCACTTGACTACTGTTACTGCATTTATCCGCTTCAGTTTCCGTTTGTTCTGGCTCAGCAGGACGGTTTTCTTCCTCCATATGTTTATTCAAATGTTTATTTAATAATTTTTTTGATATAAATTTTTCTCCACATTTTGTGCATGAGTAAGGGTAATCTCCAGAATGTAATCTTTTGTGAACCTTTAATGCCACAGCACTCCGTAAATTAACCGAGCATTCATCGCAAATAAAAGTGTTTGGAGGCACGCAAAAGTGATAAACGTGAGGCCATTTCTTCTGAAGGCATTTTTTACATAAAACACTTTCAGTTCCATGCTTCCAAAACAAATGTTTTGTGATATCCGGTTTATTTCTGTAAGCGATTCCACATCTGTAACACATATGCGAAAGTTTGTGCTTCCAAACATGAGTCGACAATTGAAACTGATTTGAACTTTGATCAAAACAAATATCACAAGAATTGTGTTTTCTCCTGAGGTGAACCATTAATCGAAATGATGAAGGCAGAGGGTCGACGTTACATAAAAAGCAACGATAAGTTATGTCGGGATTTATAACTTGTCCAGAAATGTAAATTCCTGGACAAAGGTGACAAAGTAATTCGCTATACGTATAAAAATTTGATTTACACATGATACATAAAAAAACTGCCTTCTGATGCATTTTTCTGTTATGGCTGCACAATTCTTTGTGAACGTAAGTTGCAAAAAGACAATGAAAACACTCGTATATTCTGTCATTTGCCTTCCAAAATTCTTTGTTTTCGCTATCAAAAGTGTCGGTGTTGAAATAACACTTGTCTAAATTACACAAATCATCTTTAAGCCTTTGTATTATGTTCAAAGCATTATTTTCTTTTTCTTTTTCGCTCGAGTCTTCAGCAATGGTGACAAATCTATGCTCTGCTAATATGTGAAGTGCTAACTGCTTTCCGTTAAGAGCAATTCTTTTGGCATGAGAACAATAGACGCAATTCCAACATGACACTTTGACAAATTCCTTTATGAGAGACTTAGTTTCAATATCTTCTTCTTTGAGAGTTACATAAATATATGAGGTATCCTTTGATGCGGTGGGTATTATATCATCTGTTTTGGAATTTAGTGAATCTGTGTTCTCAGGAGGATCTATTTTATCCGTAATTTGTTCCGTTGGCTGATCGAATGCAATGGTTAATTTTTCACTGTCAGTGCTTTCACAATCCGACACAATTTGATTTTCATCATTCTTATATTGGTTTTTGGCATTATTTGCGATTTCTTTTAGGGAATTTTGTGGTTGTTCCTGTTTGTCCTCCACTTCTGAATATTTACTAATTTCCAATTTATTTTCAGTTTTTAATTCATTTTGATTATCAAATTTTTCATTGAACTGATTATTCGAAGATGAATAATCTTCCCTATCGCGGCTTACAGATTCATCCCCCTGACCTTCACAACTTAATTCTTCATTTTCATCAAATTCGTCTTCATCTTCTTCTTTTTCTTTTTGGTTTTCGTCTTCTATTCTAGAGCATTCGACTACTCTATTAATGGAATCCTCGATTGACTGAATAGACGATATAACTTTTTCTGCTGTTTTCGATGGCCTATAAAGTTGTAATAGTTTTTCGTTATATTGTTTTGTTGAAACTAAATCCTCAGTTGAATTCCTAAGGGGAGAGATCACAAATTTATCTGTTGAATCTTTGTGCGCACTTGTATTTTCTTTTACATTTGACTCGTTGGCAGACTCAAAATTTTCAATAGAATTTTGTTTTCTAACTATAACAGACATTTCTCCACTGCTGTTTTCGTTATTAATTATTTGAAAAGTTTCCTTATTTTTTTTGTTATTTTTAATTTTTTTCTTTTTTACATTCATTTTTTTCCCAAGAGCAGGATGAGATTTTTGAAAATTAGGTTCTAAATATCGATCAGAAAACGCTCGACGACAAGTGGGAAAATGAGCTCCTTGTAATCCACAAAGAGAACAAGTTACAGAATCATCCGATTGCGGTGAAACACAGGAATGGTCGTAAAAATCTTCTTGCTCAGAAAACATGGCTTCACAAGAAATACAAATTAAATAACATGTTCCACGAAATATTTTTGAAAAATCTTCAGTAGATGAAAGATTTTGCTCAATGACATTATGCTTTGCTTGAAGATGTTGTGCTAATTTATCAGGTTGTGAAAACATTCCGAGACAATATAAACATATATGGCGTTTATGCATTTCCTTCATGTGCAAAAAAAGATTCCAATTTTCATAGTAACTACCACAAGCTGAACACAAATAAACTTTTCGAGTAATTCGAAAGTTAGACGATGAAGAATTATTAACTGAGGGTGAAAATTCATTTGAAGACTGATAATCAGAAGTTCCTGATAAACATTTTCTTTGGTGAGATTGTAATTCAGATATTGTAGAAAAGTCTGAATATGAACATTTATAGCACTTAAACTTAATATTAGAATGAATACCTTGATACTGAAAAGACTCAATTTTTTTCTTCACATGTTTACCATTTTTAAATTTAAATAAAGAAGACACTTTTTTTTTAATATTTTTATTTCCTGGTAACTTAATATGATTCTTTTTCACCAATTTCGGTTTCAGAATTTTTTTTTTATTGTTCTCATTATTTGCATTATTCGCAGATTTTACGTTTAATTTTCCATTATTAATGCCTTTTGCAACATGATTAATAGTTTTTTCCAAGTTTGACTCTCCAACCATAATAGAAACATCTGGTTCCATTGGGTGATGCTCATTTTCACCATCATTACTGGTATCTTCTTTACTGTTAACAAATGACTGATCACTATCTTTAGAATGAGATAAATTATTTTCATCACTAGGTCTAGGTAATTGATTTGAGTTTTTTTCCTCAGTTTCTAAACTACAATCACTGTTTATAATATCTTTATTTTCACTGGTAGATGTATTTAAATCACTAATATCTTCAAAATTTTCTTCTTCACATCCACATGACTTTTGATATTGTTTTGTAAAGTCAATACAGTCTGTAAAATCATCAATACTTCCATTCATGTAACTTTCATTTTTAGGAGAGTTTTGAACATCATGATTTAAACTCATTTTTTCAGTATCCATTTGAAATAATTTGTATGTAATTATTGCTTTAATATAAAAAATTTTTTGCACAACATTTGTCCTTGCTTACTATCATTCATCTAAAACAAATAAAATAATTAGTGAAAGACAATAAAACATTACTGTTTTGTAACAACTAAAAATTGGAAGAAATAAATAAGTAACTTAACATTTTTACTATTAATGGTTACCTTAACTTGATTCTTAAGAATAGACATTTGGTTAAACTAATTAATAAAGTTATAACTAATCAACTACATTAATTTTAACAATTTAGATTACATTTTTATGTGCAGGTTGGTTAAGTTTGCTAACCTAAAAGTTTAAGCGGAGAGCATTTTAAGAGCGTCATAAAACAGGAATTTTTTAAAGTACGTAAAATAGAATTTAATGAACAGATACAAAAAGAAAAATACGATTTTAAGGAATGCTGTGAATTGTAAACTTTAACAAGGTGTACAACGCCATTTTGAATACTAACTTGCATTTCAGGAATTCACATTTTACTCTACAATGTAACATTAATAAGCGTGTATGATAATGTTTAATCATAAAAATGGGACAGAAAAAATTACTTAAATCTAAGATAATAAAAGATTTTAAAATATATAATTACCTGAGCATTCTTTAACCTTATTTGACTTAAAAGCGCAAATTCAAGTCCAAGCCATTACACAGCTAATATGAGAAACAACAACAATTGGTCAACTAGCAAATTAAAAACCAATTAATTACCGCAAGTAAAGCAAAAATTTAAAAATAAACTATTTATGAGAAAACTGGTTTACATATTCATAATGAATTATCCTCTTAAGAGCGTAGTATACGCAACTTTTTAATCTTAAGGATGCTATCATTTCTTCAACAAAATGGCAACCGAAATATTATGTTCCGCGTTTTATTAGTAAGGGGGCCCAAAAAAAAGTTTTTCGTCTGATATTGTTTGACTCTACATTGTCAACAGTTTTATTTAAAAAAAAACTAGAATTTTAAAATGATCCAACACTTTGTATGAGTGTATCACACATTATGGAAAGTTCTAATGGAACTTTAAGGTATCATAATGAAATAAAGTTTTAAAAATTTAATGTAAAAAAAATTCGCTTAACTTGCTAATTAATATTTTTAAGTAAATAAGACCATAATGGCTAATACAATGCACATAACTCAAGAAGGGCCTGCGAATGCCTTGGCACTTAATAAAGAAAACACTCAAGTTGTGATAGCAGGTAGAAATGTTTTTAAAATATTTAATATCGAAGAAAAAGAATTTATTGAAAGCTGTAATTTAAGAATTGGAAAAAATTTAAACTTGAATTTTTCTTGCAATCATGTTGCTTGGAATTTAAATGAAGCAAATATTTTGGCTACTGCTGCAACAAATGGTGCTGTTGTTCTTTGGAACTTAGGTAGACAAACTAGATCTAAGCAAGAGCATATTTTCAATGATCATAAAAGAACAGTCAATAAAGTTTGTTTTCATGACACTGAGCCTAGTTTACTTTTATCTGGATCTCAGGATGGTACCATGAAATGCTTTGATTTAAGGACTAGAGAAGTGTTTCAAACCTTTTACAGTAATTCTGAGAGTGTTAGAGATGTGCAATTTAGTCCACATTTGCAACATTTGTTCTCATCTGTATCCGAAAATGGTAATGTTCAATTGTGGGACCTTAGAAGACATGATAAATATTACATGCAATTTACAGCTCACAGTGGGCCAGCTTTTGCATGTGATTGGCATCCTGAACTTGAATGGCTGGCTACTGCAAGTAGAGACAAGACAATTAAAGTTTGGGATTTAAGCACCAAAAATCAAACTTTGGAATTTGTTATACACACTATTGCATCAATCGGCCATATTAAATGGAGACCTCAAAGGCGATTTCATATTGCAAGTTGTGCTTTAGTTGTAGATTGTAATATAAACATTTGGGATGTTCGTAGGCCTTATATACCTTTTGCTTGCTTTGACCAACACAAAGATGTTCCGACCGGTGTGGCTTGGAGAGGCCAGCCTCATATTTTTCTATCAACAAGTAGAGATTGCACTCTATATCAGCATACATTTAAAGATGCTATAAGACCAGCTAGTAATGCAAATCCTCAGGGAATTTCACTTAATTGTTTGGGTGATGTCTTGTTTGCTACAAGTGTTAATCACAATATCTCTGCTGCCAAAAAGTTCCCCCCTATATTAAAAAAACAACAATCACATAGTGATAAATTTTGTCATGTGTCTAGTGTTCTTCGTCAATTTTTAAGCAAAAGTCGAGATGAATCTAAATATAGATTTATAGAAACTGCTAAACAGTACCTTTTAGTAGGTAAAACATTACCAGGATTGTGCGATCACAACGCCAGTGTTGCAGATGGATTTGGTCGGCATCACATTGCTCTAATTTGGAGAATAATAAAAACCTTATATGGGTATTACTTACCCGGGAAAAGTGTTATGGATAATGGAATTCTTTCATCAAGTTTAATGCGAAATGATGAGTCTTTACATTCTTCCGACGGAAAAACTTATAATAATAGTAAAATTATTTTACCAAGTGGTGCTAGTAATTTTGAACCTGAGGAAAAATTAGGAAAAGCAAATGAAATTTCGACCTCTGGTGTAGACGAAGATGCGGAAACAGAGGATGTAACTGAGCAATACAATATTATGATGAATTTGGGAATAAAATCTGGAACTGAGTTTCAACATGATTTTCAGGTGCAAGGAGATTTTTTTTTTGGAGATGGAGAGTTGGACCCTTTAAGTACGGTGGATCAAACTTCAAATTTTTTTCCAAAGGAGACAGATTGGTCAATTCAAAATGAAGTTTTTTTAGTTCGTCATGAAATACAAGACGGTTCTTCGCAGCCTGAACATTTTTCTAATCCTAAGACTTCGGAAAATGATTTGGATCCTTCAAATCTCACTATAGAAAGAATATCGAAGTATTCAAATGCTCAAATTTCCGTTAATGTTTTACCGAATATTTCTCCGATTAATCCTAGTCAACTAATTGTAGAAACATTAAAATATCATGCTGATTTAGGAGACGTGCAAACGGCTGTTAGTATTCTTTTCGTCTTGGGGGAAAAACGCAAAGAATTAAACGGACTGGATTTAGTTACTCAGGAGCATTGGTTATTAACTTATTTGGATCTTTTAGCTCGTTATCGACTCTGGGATGTTTCAACTGATATTATTCAATTTTGTTGGTTACCTTCCATTAGTCATTTAAATCAACAAAGTACTACAGTGTACAGTTGTTGTGGAGAGTGTAACAAGCCTTTACAACGAAGTGGTTGGTTATGCGAAAGATGTCACAACTCTCCCACTTCATGCAGCGTTTGCCATCAAACTGTTAGAGGTCTATATACTTGGTGTCAAGGATGCGGTCATGGGGGTCATTTTAGTCATTTTGTTAAATGGTTTAAAAACAACAATTTATGCCCTAGTGGTTGTGGACATAAATGTGAATATGGATAAAAATATACAATTTGTGATATAGGTTATAAAAATTTTTATTTACAAAATTATTTTTTTAATTTATAAATTTTTTAAATCATTGATTTATTTTTATTAAATAATTATACAATACAATTACCTTAGTTTTTTAATATCACAAATTATAATCTTTTTCAATATTTCAAAACACATATTATAGATCCCAGAATTTCTAAAATTTGCACGTTAGTTTTCACACTAAATTAATACTTTATTTGTGAATGTTAAAAATAAAACTAATTTGGATTTTTTTGATTACCGAATTTAAGTAGTCATAGTACGCATCAGTATTAATGATTTTAACGAAAATCACATAATTGAAAAAAAAGTAATTTACTTCAAATAAGTATAAGTTTAAAATTTTTAAGAAACTTTTTACCGACTTTAATGCTGGGCCCAAAAAATGGCGGGAATATATTTTCTGCTTAAAAACCGTTAATACTTAATAATAATTTTTAATATTAATTGCAAGTAAGTCAACCTGACTGAACAAGTTTTACTTTTTAACTTGCCGATTCCTGATGTATGAAATTCAATTTTTTTTAATATTTTTTTTTTAAATTTAATTTTGTATAATTTTCAAAAATAATTTCGTGAAGTATTTTATGTAAAAGATCATTTTCCTTGAAAAATTTTTTTATTTACAAAAGAGGTTATTTTTTTTATAAGTTTTGGCTTTTTCAATTCAAGACGCTTCTTGTTTAAAAAGTTATAATGAATTCCAAGGTAAATTATTTCTTTTTTTATTCTGACATTTTCTGTTCGAATTCTTACTTATTCATATAATCTTTAGTAATTATTAAAATAAGTTTAAACTACAATGAAAAGTTATCATATTGAAATGCTCTTTAAAAATTTTTTTTACAATTTATTAAAGGACAGATTAACTAATATTTATGTTAATTATAATATAAAATTTTGTGTATCAATTTTTTAGGTCGATTTCATAAATACATGTGTGAAAACTTATCGATCAATTGCTCTGCATCCTGCCATTGTTTCAGCAACAATTTTAAAAGAAAATGATAATTCAGATATTATTAAAATTTTCTCCAAGTGGAGTCAGAGGAATTTAGAAAAGGGAGAGATAACTTATTTTCAAAGACAACATATACTTGCAAAGTCAAATAATTCTGTCTTTGAGACTTTTCCTGTTGATATTTCTCAAGAGTAAATATAAAATTTCAAAATGCACTTTTTATTATTTTATTTTTTATTTCAATTAATTTTTCATATTATTTTAAGAGATTTTTACAAATATTCTTCATCTGAAAAATTGTACTGTATAATAAGAAAAATAAAACAAGAAAATAAAAAAAAAACATTTTTAGAAATATGGAACACAAAAGGATTGTTCAAAAACTTTGATATCAATGCTTTCGACATTCATGGTGATATTTATTGTGATGGTATTAATTTTTTTTTTCCCTTATAGTTATCAATTTAAATTTTAATTAATTATAAACATTTTATACTTTAAATTTTATTTCTTATTTTTTCAAAAATTTCAGTTAAATTTGGTTCATTGGAATGGTCACCAAATGAAGATAAGATATTGTATATAGCGGAAAAATTGTCGAAGAAAAGTGAACCGTTTTATAAACAAAAGTCAAAAAATGAAGGTTCAAAAAATTATATAAAGAGTTTAGAAGATGTCTCATTGGTAAATATTATTTAAAATAAAAAATCATAGTTTAAATTTTGATTTTTAATAGATTTTATAAAAAATTTTTTTTTGTTGATTATTGTCCTACTATTAATGTTGATAATATCAAAAATATTTCTTTAAACTTTTTTAATTTAGGGTGATGAATATATATACAAACCAGATTGGGGTGAGCAATTAATTGAAAAACATCAATCAATTATTGGAATGTGTGACATTGCTTCAGAGACATTAGAAGTTGTCGATGGGATTCCATCACATTATTCGCCAGCACAAGTTTTATGGTCTAAAGATGGCAACGATATCTATGGTGTTGTTTTCGAAAATGAGCCTAGACGTTTAGGTTTAATTTATTGTACTAATCGAGAAAGTTATATTTTTTGTCTAGATTCTAAGGGAGAATTCAGTAAGAATTATCAATTTATTTATTTATTTTTTCAATGAATAAGTTATTTGATGTTTAATTACCAAGTTTTCTTATTAATTTTTATGGTTTTAAATTTTCAAAGACATATCATTAGTCATTTTCAAATGTTTTTTCAGAAATATTATCCGAACCTCAAAAATCAGTTCATTCTCCTCGTTTAAGTTTAGATGGAAAAAGTCTTTTCTGGTTACAGAGAGCAGTTGGAGGTGCTCATGGGGGCTGTCATCAGCTCATTAAAATGAATCTTGTAACCAAAGAGGTTAGTTTTTAATGATGTAAATTTTATCGTTAGTAATGTTTTTTTTTTTCAGTATTTACATATATATATTATATTTTATTTTTTTCTGTAGAAAGAAGTTATGATTGATATCATTAAAAAGGGAGATGAAAAATTCTCAGGATTATACTTGCAAAGTTTACCAACGAAAGATGTTTTTCAAAAAATGGTT